CCCTCATTGGTTAAAACAGTACAATTACTTTCATATTATGCCTGGTAGAACGCTTATGCTCAGGATTATTGGAAGAAAATTTATCCTGTTTGACAAAGTTGCAAATAGGTACAGTGCGCCTCCTCATAATCTTTTTTATTGGGATCATCAATGATCAAAACCCACCAGTTCTGAAATTTGGAAAACGGAATGATGACCTTTGGTAACACAAAACAGTACTGTCACCTGCTAGCCAATGTTTTATTTCCCGGAATATACTCGCAATATGAGACACTACGATAACAGCTGGTAACCACTCCTGTACCTTTCACCAATTGATTGCAAACACTCTGAGGGCCCTATTGCACTGAATGTAAAACAAACACATAGTACGTAGCCGCTTAGGTCGGTAAGTATATTGATTTTGTCACAACAACTCTCTCCTCCCTACTTTTTGACATTGTTTTCCTTTCAAAGAAATGTCAACGGATGATGTCAATATCATCATAGAGTAAAAATGGAGAGTGATATAAGCTTTATACATTTTCTCTTTGCCTGAAATATTTTCTCAGGTATATGAAATATTAATGGTAAGGCTAATATTAGAAAATATCATTAACTACTGACATAAAATATCCCTGTATATTCTAAAAGATTGTTATTATTATTTTTTTATTTCAATGCTGTAATCTTTTGGCTTCAGAATCCTGGATCGCTTGGGATGATATTTTGAAGAAACACAATATTGTTAGTCAAATAATTTTTCAATATCATTAAGAATAATTCATGAGCAAACGTTGCTCTGTTTAGATGCATGTAAGCTAAGGCGTATCTTCTTATGCATAAGGACGCTTATTTATTCTATTCTGCCTTCATTTTGCAACTATTATGTATTTATTTTCACATTATTCAACTAAAGATATTTCGATATATCACTTGGTGATAATAAAAGGAAGGTCACAGTAAAGTTACAGCGGAAGTCAACGTCAACATGACAAAGCGTGCGAAAACAAACTTATTCCTCTCACCGTATAGTTTTTTAGACGGGAGATGCCTCTTTTATCTTAGAGTTTTATGGAGTGCACTTTTAACAGAGATTGTGCTTGAATAGTTCAAACTTTCGTTAAACACAAATGTAAGGAATGCATTTTTATTTTAGGCCATATATTTTTAAGGGCTTGTAAACACGACAGGCACACCTCACGCAAATAATTAACATCTTTATTTTTAAGACAGGATTTATCAGCCCTAAGCTTTGATCGTTAATGGAGAAGAATGACAAAAAAAAAGCGGCGACCTACCGGATCTCTTGCAATGAGATGCAACCTCCCCCATCTACACTTTGGAAAAAGCCTTCAATATATAGTTGTTTCCATTTTTATTAAAACTTCTTTAGGGAGTATTTAATCTCAGTGTGTCCAGCTGTTTTCCTTCATTAGATAGCTTTTGTATCGCTGATATCAAAGTAGTTTTAATAAAAAAGGAATAAGACTGCAAAATATCAACCTTCAAGGGACACTAACTAGTATTTGACGTACTAAGATGGACAAAGCTGTTTAAACGTCTTGTACTTTCTGTTTTTGTTGTATCATTGGCGGTTGTTGTAGGCGTTTTCCCCCAAAAAAGTTTAGTAACAATAGCTACATGAAAATACAATAAGGATAAATTTAATTTGTTTGTTTTAATGTTATGCGATAAAGGTGGAGTTGCTAAGGAAACCTTCCACAGCTAAGCCATCTGATAGATTTGACTTATAATTTTCGATCTCTGCAAGGCCAGTTATAATAAATCATGTTGATTTGTAGACGCCTGATGTAGATCAGAAGGAGAGTTAAACCTTTGCTTTTGCGCGTTTTGTTTTTACAGACCAACCTGAGATGCAAATACTCCATTATTTATAACGGTTTTGTTTCTTTAGATCTGAATTAATTACATGATCAAGGGGATTAACCTTCAGCACCAAAGATATGAACGGCACTCAGGAGTCCTCAAGTGCGAATAAGACCGCCAACTCCAAAATGGGTATTTCATCACTAATTATGTGGTGTTCTGCCTTTGGAATAGTCGACATTCTCGTCGTTGGTGCAAATGTCTTGGCTTTGCTAGTGTTTAACTCGAGTCGACGGCTCTTAAAAAAGCGACATAACCAGTTCTTGATCGTCCTGGCTATCTCAGACATTATGGTTGGTCTCACCGTAATTCCCTTGTATGTATACCAGTTGATATCCTGGTGGCTTGAAAGCCGTCCGTTACTTGGGAATGCATTGCGAGACGTTTTCAATGCTGTAGACATATTATCCGGATTCGCTTCTATCTTCACTTTAGCGGCGATTGCAGCGGATCGAGTCTATGCCATCGTGTTTCCTTTTTACCACAAAGTCCCTCCAAGGGGAGTTTACCCCTCTATGATAGCCTCTGTGTGGATGTTATCGGGATTACTCGTAGTCTACTATTTTTTGTCTCGGATTGATGTCTTACCGATAGAAGCGTTTATTTATCTTTTGCTATGTAGCATCTCGTTTTCTCTTCTAGTCATTTGCGTCTCCTATTTGCTAGTCTGGGCAAGAGTTAAGTGCTTTAAAATAAGCCACGGCCTCAAAGGAACACCATTTCGCGAGAGACGATTGGCAGAACTTTTATTTCTGCTAACTGTTATTTTTATCTGTACCTGGCTACCATTTCATGTTGTAAACTTCATTTTCCATTTTTGCAAACCGTCGAACTGCCGTCCTCCACCCGTTTCTCTCGTTTACTTTAGCAAACTTTTACATTATAGCAACTCCTTTTTGAACCCTATTGTGTATTGTTATAGAAACAGCGAGTTTCGAAGATGTTTGAAGAAACTGGTACGTAATTTATCATCACGATCAAAACCAGTAATATCAGATAAGAAGGAACACTACGGGATGAAGGAACGACGATTACTTTTAGAACGACAAGATGCCTTTCGTCGCATTCTGATCAAAGAAAGCAGGGTATGATTAATAAAAATTACAGACGGGGACAACATTGCTTACTACTGTCTTAGTAAATATTGTTAGACTTCGCGCAATTAAACAGAGACTACCATTGGTTGATTCTTGGTCACGTGACCTTGATTAAATTAATATGTATCCCGATCGTGATACAACTTTAGTTAGTTTTGATTTCCCTCCCTAATTCTGATGTTTCCCTCGACTCACGGGAATTGTTTCCTTCGGGACCTAATCGTGACGTTTGGGCATAAGCAGTTAGACTATTGACTTTGCTTGAAATCATTTTTGTTTTTTTATATTGTCGATATAAACTACCTTAATAAAGTTAAAAAAAAAACGATCATAAATATTATTGATAAGACACAGAAGTCATAAGCGTTTTAAATCAAATTACCTCGCTTGAAATGAACATATTAAATATAAGTTGCCCCCAACAATAGACCAATTTCTATATATCAAAATTTATATTTGGCTACGAGGCTTGGAGAAATAAAGCAAAAGAATATACTATTAATTCCTGAGCCTCAAGATGATTTCTTTGATTTTATTCCCCCTAGCCTTTGAGCCAACTCTAATATGCCACTTCCGAGTTCCAAAAACCCTCACTTTCAAAATGAGGCTAGGTGCACAACCTTTCAAGTGTGAAAATGAGTCAAATGATTTCCATATCAAAGGCTGAGCATCTACCCTCGTTTTGAAACAGAGGTCCGGGGGAACTCGGAAATGGCCTATCTTAATGTATCGAAATTGGTCTGTTGTCAGCACCCACCTCATTTCTACTACAAGTCACAGTTTATGAATCTTAAAATTTAGCTAAAATAGACCTTTTAGCAGCCCATAACCCAGAGAAGCAACTTCCATGTACTCACATCACGGCATTTTCACCGATCGGTATATTTCTAGAACAATTTTGGCGCGTAAATATATAGACCAGTCAGGAAAACCTACAGACCTTAAAATGTTATTTTTAACCCTGAAAGTTTCCCTTAGTTCTTTTTTCTTTAATCTAATACTTCTAATACGCTTATATACGGAGTAGAGCTTCTATATTTTAGTGGGAAAAGTGCTGAAGCACAGTGACATACATGTACATGCATGTATGCCTAGTATGGGAGTTGCTCGCTGCTATTTATGGTCTCCTGACCAATTAACTTGCATGTTTTGTTTTCCCATTCTCCTTTTTGGAATCCTCTATTATACACTCTATTGGCCCCCAAAGTTTTCGTAATAAGATATTTTTCCAGGTGCTCTTGGAAACATTTAGTACTCTTAGGAGCATTGTAATAGTAATAGCTTATGAAAAAGTTTGGGAGCAAACAGGGTGTGTTATGGCTGGGGATTTCGAAGTCAGTACAAAATTCAGGTGAAACAAAAGGTAAATTCCCCAGATGGCATCACTTGGCCTGAATTGGGGAAATAAATCGAGTTTGTGTTTTCTTATCCTTGTACTAATCCCCTCTATCATCAACTGTTTGTAATTCCTTATAGTCTACTAGTATCTGTTTGGTATTTTCCTACTCAGACTGATCTACAATGGAGGTCAAAAGTACTATTATATGAAGACCTTTAAGGGATATTTCTAAAACTGACGACCTTCTCCAAATAATGTTGACTTTTGAGCAAAATAGGTGGTAGAAATGAGTCATTTTTGGCCCATTACTGCTGTGGGGGAGTTAGGGTATGAGCTGATGAAAAAATTGTCACTAATAGTAGAGTCCTATGCAAATTATGTAGAGGGTTTTTTTTTTCAGCTGTTCCAAGGTTGACCTTTTTTTAAATTTTGTGCAAATTTTAAGTTTTTCTTCAATGTAAAGAAAAATGTATACCTTGCCACAAAAAGGGGTCGCCAGGGTTTCTACAAATTATACAAATTGTACAGTAATAGAATTGATCAGAATTGTTTCTCTAGAAGCCACGTATTGTCCGATTATGCGTGAACGAATAAATTAAATTTTAACATTTTAGTTTAAAGCTTACTGTCGCTATGATCGATCAGAGAACATAATTTAGACATTTTGCCTGCCGCAGGCGAGGACTGTACATTGTCTAAAATCCGGAGATGTTCTGTTCTTTAGTTTCTCCCATATTATTTAATGGTATCTCTTCATGATCTATCCTGGGTCCCTCTGGGAGAGCCTCCGCAGAGTATGATTCTCTACAAAGTAATCTACCCAGGGCTATTCTGAAGTCGGGCATTTGAAATGAATAAATAATTGGATTCAAAAACGAGTTGGCATAATGAAGAAACTTACAGAAAAATAGGATATCGTGTGGCAACTTATGGGTGAAACAAAGGTTACAGAAGAAATTGATTATGTTTAACAAATGAAAAGGTAACCACGTGACAATGAAGGTTAAGGTTATGATCAAAAGCATCCTAGCTACCTTCCTGTCAGACGCTGATGGACGATGTTGCGAACTGTAATAAAACCTAACCCTGATCCAAATACCTGTGTATGACACACACATAAAAAACAAGCATGAACTCAATGATGACATCATCACATAGAAGAAAACGTCATAGTTAATGACGCGAAATTTAAACAGAAGGTGTAAAATGGTGACTATGAAAGCCAAGATCCAGACCACTCCAATAATCAGCAGGTATTTTGAGTCCGTGAAGACGGTACGGTGACGAAGCGGCCGGCAAAAAGCGTAAAGGCGCTCCAAACCAATGGCTGTTAATGTAAAAATCGAAGCAAAGCCTGAAGCAATGTCCACAGCAGTATAAATGCTTTGATATGTGACGTTATCCAGGTGATAGCACAGTAGGACAATATACATAGGGACTGTAACTGCACCCACAAGTAAATCAGCGATTGCTAGGTTGATCAGGAAAAAGCTTGCACGAATGTGGAAGAGCTTCTTGCAACTAAAGAAGGCCACCATTGTTAGAATGTTGCCAACTATTATGAAAAACGCAGCGAGCCCAAACCCCGCACTCTAACCTGTGATTTGCAAAGTGGACATATTTGGATATGTCGATCTAGAATAATAATAATAATGATAATGATACTGATGATGATGATGATAATGATACTACTACTACTACTACTACTACTACTACTACTACTACTACTACTACTACTACTACTACTACTACTACTACTACTACTACTACTACTACTACTACTACTACTACTACTACTACTACTACTAATAATAATAATAATAATAAAAATAATAGCAATAAAAATAATAAATAATACTAACAAATAAAATAGTATTGATTATGTTAATTTATCTATCAGATTCATTTTATGAATTTTAACATTACTGGTATGTAGAAATTGTAAGGCGCTTTTGATTTTGATTATTATTAAAAGGATCTATATAGGAAATTAAAAAGTATTATTACTATTATTATTATTATTGTTGTTATTATTGCAGTTATTATTATTTTTATTATTATTCTGATTATGATAATAAACCATTTTTACCTTCGGTATATTTATAGCACGAATGCTTTCGAGGCAAACAATAAAAACTGAAATTGGTGCTAATGCTGGCACCATTTCTTTTGCTAACATAATCCACTCAGCCTCGAAGTGTTTTGAAACGAAAGAAAGCTCATTATTTTGACAGTATAGCCAGATAGTTGTATTAAATCCGTGCAACCTCACCCATGATTCAAAGAATGGTAAATAAAATCCCAATAAAATAAGATCAAATTGAATGTTCGACAATGGCTTGTGAAATTGAATGAATTACCATTACTAGCAGTTCAGAAGGAACTGTAAGAAAACATGTAACCTTTTATTTGACTTCACGTAAGCATTTCTTTTAGTTCCTGTTACAATAATTTACGATTAAAGATTGCAACTGAACAATCCTGCTGTTAATATTCAAAGAACCGGTAGTCTGATATTTTTTTTCTTCTTTTTATCGTAGCTACCATCAAACTTGTATATGACGGTACTTAAAACGAAAAATAGAATAAAAGCAATGCAGTAACTGTGGATAAATATTTAGAACGGAGCAAAACACTTGCCAATAAATGGACATTTCTGACGTATACTTCCATTCTTTCCTTCGTTTGGCCAGGTCGAAGACCAGTGGCGCTTGCAATTTCGATTAAATGTTAATAAGTCTGTTAAGACTTAAAATGCTCTGTTCGGCTAAAAAGTAACAAATAAAACATATGCGATTCTAACATATTTTTTTTGCTTATAGGCTTTTGATAGTCAAATAAGAGACTATGTAAGAAAGCTACTGACCAAGCCCAAAAACATGTTGATTTTCAATCTATAATGGCATAAAAGATACCAGACGGAGGGAAACCATGCATTAATCTCACCTTTTTAGCGTCTCTTAATATCCTGGCACTGGTGATTTAATAGTCTCAAGAAGGGGTTGAACACTTATCGAAGGTTTTTCGCTTAAAGCTTGTCGCGAACCCGTGCACTATTAATAGAGCCGTTGGTTCGGAGATGAGACGTGCTGATGTGGGAATTTAATTTGTGCCTTACGCTATAAACACCCCGCAGGGGCGAAAGGTGTCATGCATTTAACTGATTGTTCCACTGGAGGCTTTAAATTTTTGCTGAAAAAGACCATTTTTGTTTTTTATGAAACTAAGTTTAATAAAAACATTCTCTCACCTGCTATAGAACATAAGAAAACATTATCGAGCAGTAAGTTGTCGATTTAAGTTAAAAAAGCTGCAAGTTGTTTGTAGATTATCGCAAAGGAAGGAAAGAAAAAAGGCTTTTGATATCCCTGCTGTGTAAATTTAATAATCGGAATACTCGATTAATAGCATCGAGGAGAAAAATATATACAGTGTATACGATATATATAATATTTAAGTACCAACACCGAGGGAGAAAATCTCAATATTAGAAACACGTTTTCTTTTCTTTTTTTTAAGGAAAGCTAATGAAAAATATTAATTAAAATTCTACTTGTTTTGATTTGTTTTTCTATTTGTTTTGCACGATACACTTTAAAAAGAGGTTTAATAGCTAACAAGACATTTGGAAAATTTCCCCACCTGAATTTAATTCTGAATTATTCTTCTGTTTTGTTTAACGAGAACAAAAAATATCAATTTCCTTCAGGGTTGTTTAGAATATAAATGGTCAAAAAAATTAGTACGTATATTGCATTGTGGAGCCATAGATATAACGTAAAATTGCACAAGAGGGCAAAGATTCTGCCAAAATGCCATTTGGTGATATTTCGAAAAAAGAAATAAAGATGGGCTCAAAGAAAATAGTTTTAATAAGTATTATACAATATCACACTGCATGCCCAATTTATGAGCACTTCCCATCAGCTTATATCGGAGCGACAATGGTGTTTATAAAAGATTTTTAAATCAGATAGGATGCATATTTCCATATTTCTGTAATTGCTTAGTTTGCTTGTTTAATTTGTGTTTGATGGAATTAATTGGCTTGGTTTGGATTTTTTTGCTCACGCTTTTTAATGTGATAGATATATTACAATATTTCGTCTCCTTATTCCTCCTCTCCACGATGCTCTTCACTGCATCTTAATTCTTTAGCTGTTACCCAACAAAGGAAAATACAATGGAGTATTATTTTATGTTTAAATGAGATAGCAGTTCTTTGTCTACAATTATAAAGATATAACGTTCCACCTTTGAAGATCTTAGTTTCAAAAAAAACTATCTGTTGCGACGGTCAATGGATGAGTGGGTGAAACACACGCTCAAAAAATTAAATAGATTAAGAAAAGGTAATTTACCAAATTGAAATTCAAAATGCGCCGGACAACTGGTACCCTCTGTTTGATCACAAAAACATTGACTTCTCTATCGCAACATTTTCTTTCTTCTTTAAATTTCTTGTTTTCTTTTTGTCATTCTTTTTTTCTTTTTTTTTTCTCACTGCTCTTTTTTTGTGTTTTGCTTTGTAGTTTAACCGGACGAATATATAATAACGTACTTTATAGCTCTTTCAAGCCATTTTTGGGTTCTAAGAGCTGCACTGAAAGAAAGGACATCCACTTAAAAATAAACGGCATTATGATAACGGATCAACAACAAGTGGCTGAGGAATTGGTTGAGCATTTTGCTACCTTGGTGGATGGCATTGGCGGTACAACGATTGAAAGAAAGTCAATAGAGGATATGAAAAAAGGAATTCCACTCAGACCATTGAAATCGAACCGGTTACACAGGGTCAAGTCCTTGCAGCTCTCGATTCGCTGAACATAAACAAAGCCACCGGCACTGATGGAATTCCTTCAAAGGCTTTAAAAACAGGTGCTAATGAATTATCCGCTCCACTAACCACCTTGTTCAATTCTTGTATTAACAAGAATGCATGGCCTAGTGAATGGAAATATGGGCATTGGGCCCCAGTATACAAAAAGGATGACAGAAATGCAAAGGAAAACTACCGGCCCATAACTCTCTTACCATGTGTAAGTAAAGTTCTTGAGAAGTTTGTTGGAGCGCAGATCAACTCTGGCTTTGGTAATCGCATTTACCAAAACTCATCCGCTTATCGCAAAGCTCACAGCTGCGAAACAACATTGATCAATTTAGTAGAAGATTGGAGACTAGCGAGGGATCGAAGACAGGTTGTGAGCATACTTTCAACTGACATGTCAAAGGCATTTGACTCGTTACACCCACCACTACTTCTGAACAAGCTTGAAGCGTACGGTTTTCAGGAAAGCGCTATTCAACTTTTAAACAGCTATTTAAA